ACGAGCAGGAATTAAGCTTGGGGATGCTGATACGTCTCCAAGGTATCTATAAATTTTTTATTGTTCCATGCTATTATATTATCATTCTTGGATGTTTTACAATCATTTTATAGCAACTTTATAGCATTTTTGGGACTAACCTATTGACATAGTGCCCAGTGGCAGTTGATGTTTTTTGCTTGTTTTTTACATCGCAGAATATCAATAACAAACAGAGTCCAAACGCAGCGAAACTTTTTCGAGAATTTTTCTGGATCAGAAGGAACAACTTGGGCCAAAGAAGTACCAGAGGGGTGCCCCGAGGGGGGCAAAACCCACCTGGGCGTGCCTGGGGGCCCAGGCGTGCCCTGGTGGGTTGTGCCCACCTCACTGGCCTCTCGCACCACCTCTTTGCTCTATAAATACCCAAAAAATCCAGAAACCCTAAGGGAATCGACAATACACAATTCCAGCCGCCGCAAGTTTCAGAACCACCGGATCCAATCTAGACACCATCACGGAGGGGTTCATCATCCTTATTGGTGCCTCTTCGATGATGCGTGAGTAGTTCATTGTAGACCTATGGGTCCGTAGGCGGTAGGTAGATGGCTTCTTCTCTCTTTTTGATTCTCAATACAATGGTCTCTCGGAGATCTATTCGATGTAACTTTTTTTTGTGGTGTTTTTTTGGGATCCGATCTATATATCCATGAAAGTTATTTGAGTTTCTTTGATCTCTTATATGCATGATTACTTATAGCCTCGTATTTCTTCTTCGAATCTGTGGTTTAGTTAGGCCGACTAGATCAATTTTTCTAGCCATGGGAAGAGGTGCTTTGTGATGGGCTCGATCGTACGGTGTTCTTTCCCGGTGACAAAAGGGGCAGCAAGACACGTATGTATCATTGCTATTAAGGATAACAAGATGGGGGCTATTCCTACATGAATAGATCTTGTCTACATCATGTCATCGTTCTTATTGCATTACTCCGTTTCTCCATGAACTTAATACACTAGATGCATGCTGGATAGCGGTCGGTGTGTGGAGTAATAGCAGTAGATGCAGGCAGGAGTCGGTCTACTAATCTTGGACGTGATGCCTATATAATGATCATTGCCTGGATATCGTCATAATTATTTGAGGTTCTACCAATTGCCAACAGTAATTTGTTTACCCACCGAGTGCTATTTTCTTGAGAGAAGCCACTAGTGAAATCTACGACCCCCCGGGTCTATTCTTTATCATATTTGCTTTGAGATCTATTTTTATTTGCTTTTATTTTCAGATCTATTATTCCAAAAACCCAAAAATACCTTGATGCACCTTTTTATTACTTATTTTATTTCACATTTTATCGAGAGCCATTTATCCAATCTACCACAAAATTATCTATCTTTTACCCGGGAGGGATTGATAACCCCTCTTACGCGTCGGGTTGCAAGTATTTGTTCTTTGTGTGTAGGTACCGTTTATATAGTGTTGTTTGGTTCTCCTACTGGTTTGACAACCTTGGTTTCATCACTGAGGGAAATACCTACCGTAGCTGGGCTGCATCATCCCTTCCTCTTCGTGGAAAAACAGACACAGACACGAGCCATCAGTGATTGCCAGGTAGGATGTTGGGCTCTATGTTGGGTTTGGTGTGGATCATGCCCAGTCTGCTGTAGCAGTCTTTATCGATATGGCCCCATCTCTTGCATGATCTGAACTTGATCATATCCGTGCATTCGGGCATGTAGTGGTCCCTTAGGAGACACTGAATGCAGAAAGGCTCCACGTTGGGTCTGGTCGGTGAGCGGGCCGGTGCGTGATCATGGGAGATTTGAAACCGACTAGAAACCGCCCCGGGATTGACCACAGTTGATTGCATGCAGCTATGATCATGCCCCTGGTTAGCCGCTAAGGATGGACTGCTCGATTTGGTTTGTTGGGTGGATTAGGCATCACGCGCGAATAGAAATGGATAGGAATAGTAATCGCTTGAGCATAGGATTTTCTAGGATGTTTGCGGAAGACATGGGTCCATTCGTCCTCCTTCTCTTGGAGGTATAAGTCAAGTTCATAAGAGGAATTGGGGCCTCCATCGCCCCAGAGAAAGAGGTTGAGATTGAATTCTGGCACAGAGATGTTGCCTCCATTTATGATGGTGAAACCCACTTCTTGGGATGAGAGCGAAAACTTGAAGGACAAATGATGTAGCTGCTCGACTTTGAAAAGCGATGCACGTCCTCCAAAACAAGACAAGAGAATTGTACTCATTGATTCTCCTGTGAGGTGGATCTTGGATCGAGTGAATTTCTCCACCAAGATGAACTCCTCATGCTCCCGATCCTCTCTAGAATTGGTGCGCACTCCCCACTTCTTCCATATCTCTTCCTCGAAGGAGTGTCCCTTGGTGAAGTTGAGATCTGACAGTGACATGATGAGGTCAACAGGGGCCGGTGGGAAAGGTTGCCAGTGGGAGGGATGCCGGGGGAGTAGGATGGTTGGGGGGAGGGAGGGAAGCCGGGGCCGGTGGGTGGCCGCCGTGGCCAGAGTGACCAGCGGCGCGGGCTACCGAGGAGGGCTAGCGAGTAGGGTCTTTTTGATGTGAATGTTGAACTTGTGAGATAAGCGGTTCCAAGAGTGATACAGACGTCTTCGCTATTGACAGAAAGACGAAGAGAGAGAAAGAGGCATGAGAGCCGATGTAGAAAGAGAGATATAAGACTTTCCTCCACGCGGGCGGTTAGGTTTGGAGCGCGCTTGAAAACAATGTCCATGGTTTTACCACCCTTATTTTGAAGAACATTTTTTTCTAATGATATAGAAGCATATGACAACTATGGTAGAGTGTTATTATCTCATCTTTTATCATAATATTAATTATCGGGGCAATCGAGTCCTTTCAATGACTCTTGCACCATGTTCTTAGCTAAAATCTACCCTGCCAGCCAACGTTAAGAACAACTCTAAAAATCTTTTCATAAAACTAGTTCTTTTCGCTTCCCATAACCTTTAGGGGAAGTTGTCTGAAAATAAATTGTGTCAATCCCATGAACTACTTTTCCTAAATCTATTTTTATTTCATTTTTCATTTAACAAAACTACCAAAATGGACCAGGGCCCGCTGGTCAGTGACACGCGTGAAGGCTATCGGCAGGCGGTGGCGGTGTGAGGTCCTCCAGCAGGCGGCAAGATGGGCGCACGGCGGCCGCCGGAGAGGGGCTGCGGCCCGGCGTGGCGACATGGCGACGACTCGACGAGGTTCTAGCGGGGCGGCGGCCTGGCGTGGCGACATGGCGACGGCTCGACGAGGTTCTAGCGGGGCGGCGGCTTTTTGGCGGGCCGCGCGCGGAAGTTTCGGTCGGCTACAATCTCGCCAAAAAATACAGAAAGGACATCTTCCCATAAATCTGAAGGGAGAAGAGGCATCTTTTATGTGATCCTCTAAGGCCTTGTACAATTCAAGATGCTTAGTAAAATAAGCTGAGTATCTCTCTAGCACCAATGCTTATCTTTATAGCAGATATGCATAATTAAGCATATACCATCTACAAACAAGCATCGGTGCATAAGAAAAATTGATTTGTTTTTTAAACAGCATTGCATATAAGATCTAAATTCCCGCAAAAAAAGAGTATATAAGGCCTAAAGATAAAGTCAGTTCACGTAAACTGTTGGAGAGGTTTTTTTGTTCATCTTCATGCAAAACGGCGGATATTTCCGAGATAGAGAAACTGTTGTTGCTCTAACTAATCACCAGGGCGGCAGCTTTACCCATTGCCCGACACGAATCATCTGTTCCGTGTACCGGCTTCGCAGCACTTCTACAGCATAGCCATGGATTGCAAAGCAAAGCTGCCGCTAAGACGGCGCTGGTCCCTAGTCCTCACCAGCGATCACGGCCCACCCTGTTCGCCGCTGGTATGGCAAAGGTGGGTGCCAGAAATCTGCCCGCCGTTCCTCTGCGCAAACATGACGATCTGATTCGCACGAGGAATTCCCGTGGGCCTGGAGACAGCAGGAGAAACTGGTCAATGAGCACGATGCGGCCTTTGGCGCGGATCGACCGAAGCACTGCAGCTGGACGCCGAGGCGCGAACCAACAGTCCAACGCAGCCGTGGCTGACGGCCGCAGGCACGTGGTCAAACAGTGCGCAGCAGAGACACAGAGCGCAGCGCCAGCCAGCGGAGAAGCCAAGGGCGAGAGGCGAGCCTGCGCCGACACGTCAATTCTGCTGGTCTTCTTTACTTGCAAGCCAAAATGGCCAGCCAGTGGACGCGCGGCGCAGCGGAAGAAAACAAGGCGGGATCTCGTGATCTCTCACAGCGCGCGTGGAGAGATGATTTGTTTTTTAACACCGGCGGGGGCATCGGATGCAATGCAATGCGGAGATCTGTTTTTTGCCTAGGTTAATGGGCGCTTTGCGGATCTGATTCTTTCTGATTAGATCAGAAAGCTGCGTGGATGTTCCTGAGACATTGCTCGTTCGATTCGATGGCACCACACCGTGGCATGGCGTGGCGTGGTGGGGCAGCACTGATGAAAGCATCCGATGTCTGACCTCTCATGCCTGACGCACTTATTCAACAACCGAGGTCATCTCAGGTTCAGAACTGAGCACTGGACCACTACCAAAGTGCGATTTGCAATGTTCGAGGCAGTATGGGTCACCAACACAACCTAATCTTCTTCCAACTTGCCTACTTCCTTAAGAACTGATTAAAGATGAGGCTCTAGCAACCCAAAGGAAATGGCAGTATAGCACTCAGAAGCAAGGCTTGAAGAATTTTAGTTAAACAGCTCGGCAAAATACAACGAGGATCACCCACAAGAGCCAAAGAAGACGACCCCACACAAGACCCAACGCGTAAGCCAAAAGCCACCAGCATTTCGCGGGAAGATGGCGGCAGCGTTACATCACCGCGAACCTGCTACACTTTTTTACTGCTGCTAGCCCAGGTTAATCAGCACGCCACACCTAAACAAGGATTAGTGGAGACATTCGAAGGAGGATAGCGGGAAATCGGACCAGCATCAGAGGAAGATGAAGCACTCCATGGACACCAGCGGGTTCTCCAGCGACTCCTTTCCCTCGCCGTCGCCGTCGCCTTGGCCGTCGGCACCGGCACTGGGCTCCGCGACGCTTTCCTCGCCTGCCGTGGTGACGGCGTCCTCTTCCGGCTGCGGCGGTGGAGGGGCCTCCCGAGCCCGCCGCGGCGAGGCGCGGCTGCACGGCCTGCTCGGGACGGGCGGCTTTCGCTGCAGGGACTCGACCGGGCTCGCGGCCCGATGCTGCTCCGGCGACGCCCGCTTCGCCGCGGGCGACGGCGACCTCCGCACGGAGCGATCCCGTGGCTCCCGCCGCGGAGGAGGGGACGGCGAGCCCCGACAGCTGCGGGACCGGACGCCATAGGCGGCGGTGACAGCGCGGTCGCGCCGGACTAGCCCCAGCTCGCCGGAGACAGCGCGCTTCCTGGCCGGCTTCCCCGGCGACCGGTCCGGCCCCGCCAGCGAGCTGGTCGCGACGGACGACTCGGACGCCACCTCGGACCTCTCGTCGGTGGCCATGGACAGGCAGCTCCCGAGATCGCTCACCGCGGGGACGGGCTCGACACTAGCCTTCACCTTCAGCACTTCTTGCTCCTCCACAGCCACTACACTGGCGACGGGCTTAGGCTCGGCCGCCACCTTAGTGCTCGGCGTCTCCGAGAGCACCTCCTTGACCTTCTCCTCCTCCGGAGACGGTGGGGGCGGGGGGTCGCGGTCCTCCGGCTTGTAGCGGCGAGGGACGGCAGCAGAGCCGTCTGGATGCTTCATGCGCTTCTTGCTGAAGCAGCAGCCCATCTCTCCAGCTGCCGCCGGCTCACTGGGCGGCCGTCTCCGGCCTCCGGCGGTCGATGTGGCGGTTGAAATCAGTTAGTGGCAGTGCCGCGGGTAGTGTGTAGTGCTGGTGGTTGGGTTTGTAAAGGCTTCGTTCGCTGCGGGGTACTACTTCGAGGATCTGGGGGAGTGGGGACTGAATTTCTCTACGGTGTACGAGTAGTGGTGAAGCCGGAAGTGGCAATCTTGACGGTGTCGGCTCATAAAATACCGCGCGTAAAGCCGATCTTGATTGATACGACGCCTTACAAAACATACAAAATGTTAGCACGTCATTTTTATATCTACATAAAGCCCATTTTGCATAGAAAGTCACGTATAAACATGTGTGCGAGGGTACACAGTGTGGCATATCTGAGCCCGTATATGTTTGCGGCTGTGCACGGACGCATTGTCATGGTGAAATCCTGGCAGATGGCATGAGATGGCTAAACATGGGGCTGCGTGAGGATGCCGGTGAGTACCGGCGAGGTTGGCATGCGCGAGTGTGAGACACAAGACTTACCCTGGTTCGGGTCCTGCCGAAATGGGATGGTATGCACAAGGACTACAATAGTGCTCTTGGAGTTGTTTGGTGAAGGAGGAAGAATAAGCTAGCTCTCCATTCTTGCCTCTCGTGTGAGTTCGTGTGTGCGTTGCGATTTATCCACCCCCCTGCATGGAGGGCTCCTGTGTGGTCTTATAGACTCCCCCCACCTCCACAGGGTTACAAAGATAAAGTTACATGGGACGCGGGGCCCTGGTGTCATCGTTTGGAGCCGGCAGCAGGGCCCGCTGGGTGCCCAGGTTCGCGGGGCGTGGGTCCCGCCGGCCGCACGTCACTGTTGCACGTCTCGCCCCGCGTCACGGATTGATTGGCGTCGTGGGGCTACAGTGACAAGGGGCGCTGACATCGGTCGCCCTGATCAATGGACATGGCTGCACTGTAGCCACGCTCGTACGGCTGGATGGGACGACCGCTGACCCTCTACCAGGCGGCAAGCGGCCAGCCGGCTGGTCGTGTCGCCGTGCCCAGCCGGCTCGTATCGAGAAGAAGGATGGTGGACCAGCAGGATTGAGGGGCGCCAGCCGGCCCGATGTTTTGAAAAAGTGCTTGAGCTTGATTCGGGCTCCGATGCCTACCCGAGGGTCATCCCCGACACGCGTCCTTATTTATCCTCTGCTATAACCATACTTTTTTTAGCTTAATGTTAAATCCATGCAAATTCATGCATGTCCATCATATAGCACCATTCTTTTTCGATAAAAGGGGCCTCATAGCCTCCATTTTCATAACGAAAATGGACATCAACACAAGACTACTCCTACTACACAAGGTTGATGCATCACAACACTCACAGAACATAAGCCTGCATCCTAGATGTCAGTGTGAAAACCGGCAGACCTCGGGGTAGGAGGTCCCGAGCGGTGGATCTCGGACAGATGGTAACAGGAACAGGGAGATGATGTTTACCCAGGTTTGGGCCCTCTCGATGGAGGTTAAACCCTACGTCCTACTCCTGTTTATATTGATATGGATGTATCGAGTACATAGTTGATCTACCTCGAGATCGTCAGATGTGGTCTAACTCTAGGGCTAGGTGAATGATCTTGCGTTGATCTCCCCTCTACGGGCTAAACCCCTTGGCTTATAATATACACGCCAGGTAGGGTATCTAGGGTTACAAGGTCGGTATCTTGGCGAGGCGATAGGAGCTTGGAGTATACGACAAGACTTCGGCAGATGCCCAGTCCTGATCATGCCCCATCGTGCAGCCTCCAGAGTCCATCTTGATAAGAATGAGGGCCCATCATCCCAATCCGCGGAGCATGAGCTAACTAGGTTAGTAGCTCCTAGTTCAGGACACCGTCAGTAGCCCCGAACTGGTCTTCTATGCCGAGGATGATTCCCATGACGAGGATAACCTCGGATCCGAAGTCCTTGGCTCTCTAGACGAGTTCCCCTTCGTGATTTCCAGATTCCCAGACCACCCTTTAAAGGAGTGGTGTAAAACAAAATCTAGCCGAGATCATACATGCCCGAAGAAGCGTGGTAACTTAGCCTCAAAGGCCTACCACATAGGTGTGAACAATTCCACCTAGTTTGAGAACTTTACCGAAGCGGCGCACCCCACGACGGGTCGGGCAGTTACTGCTTCCCCTAAATAGTGGCTCGAGGTGGCCATTTTACTGGCGCATCCCATCGAAGTGGAGATCGTGCCCGTTTTATCAGGGATATCATCAAGATTTTGCCCCCCTATGCATAACGACATCTTTTGTGGGAGTGGAGTTTTATCGGCGCGGCAAGCGGGACTCTTGGCCTTTCAACAGCCTATAAGAGCAAAAAAGAGAACAATGCAAGCAACCATGCTCTCATTTCCCCCGCTTACTGCTTCGTCTAGCTCCACCGCCCAGATCCAATCTCGCACTCCTCTTCCTCAGCGAACCCAAGCTTCTCCTTCTTATGGGAGCAAGAATCAACTAGCATAAAAGTAACGGGAGCATCATGAAGCATATGACTAGCAAATTTAATCCTAACCCACTTCCTATGCATAGAGATTTTTTGAGCAAACAACTTATGGGAGCAATAATCAACTAGCATAGGAAGGCAAAACAAACATGACTTCAAAACTTTCAACACATAGAGAGGAAACTTGAGATTATTGAGATATGTAAAAGCATATGTTCCTCTCTCATAGTAATTTTCAGGTGCATCATGAATGAATTCAACAATATAGCTATCACATAAAGCATTCTTTTCATGATCCACATGCATAAAAATTTTATTACTCTCCACATAAGCAAATTTATTCTCATCCACAATGACGGGAGTATCATATGAAACTCGAATACTAAAAAATGTTTCTACACTAAAAGAGTAATGTTCAAAAAAAGGGTAATCATAATTATGACAAGTTTTATAAGAATGATCATCACTACTTTTTATAACATAAGTGTCATCACAATAATCATCATAAGTAGCAACCTTGTTCTCAGCATAATCAATTGAAACCTCTTCCAAGATAGTGGAAGCATTACTAAATAAAGCCATGACCTCTCCAAATCCACTTTTATCATTATAGTAAGATTCAACACCCTCCAAAATAGTGGGATCATTAATTAGAGTTGACACTCTTCCGAACCCACTTTCATCAACATAATCATCATAAATAGGAGGCATGCTATCATCATGATAAATTTTCTCATCAAAGCTTGGGGGACAAAAATATCATCTTCATCAAACATAGCATCCCCAAGCTTAGCTTATGGCCTTGTATATCATTAGAATCATGGATATTCAAAGAATTAATACCAACAACATTGCAATCATGCTCATCATTCAAAGATTTTGTGTCAAACATTTTATTGAATTCTTCTTCTATCAATTGAGCACAATTTCCTTTCCATCATTTTCACGGAAGACATTATAAAGATGAATAATATGAGGCAACCTCACTTCCATTTTTTCTATAGTTTTATTTTATAAACCAAACTAGTGATAAAACAAGAAACTAAAAGATTCAATTGCAAGATCTAAAGATATACTTTCAAGCACTCACCTCCTCAGCAACGGTGCCACATAAGAGCTTGATGTCTACTAGACAACTTATTCTTGTAGACTCGTGTTGGGCCTCCAAGCGTAGTGTTTTGTAGGACAGTAACAATTTTCCCTCAAGTGGATGACCTAAGGTTTATCAATCCGTGGAAGGCGTGGGATGAAGATGATCTCTCTCAAACAACCCTGCAACCAAATAACAAAGAGTCTCTTGTGTCCCCAACACACCCAATATAATGGTAAATTTTATAGGTGCACTAGTTCAGCGAAGAGATGGTGATACAAGTGTAATATGGATAGTAGATATAGGTTTTTGTAATATGAAAATATGAAAACAACAAGGTAGCAAGTAGCAAAAGTGAGCAAAACGGTATTGCAATGCTTGAAAACAAGGCCTAGGGTTCATACTTTCACTAGTACAAAATGTCTCAACAATGATAACATAATTGGATCATATGACAATCCCTCAACGTGCAACAAAGAATCACTCCAAAGTTTATATCGGAGAACGTAGGATGAAAACATGCATCAACCCCTATGCATAGATTACCCCAATGTCACCTCAAGAATCCGCGAGTTGACTGCCAAAACATACATCAAGTGAATCAATATAATACCCCATTGTCACCATGGGAATCCATATGCAAGACATACATAAAGTTTCTCAAATCCAATATTCAATCCAACATAACGAAACCTCAAAGAGAAAGACTCAATTCATCACAAGAAGGTAGAGAGGGAAGAACACCATAAGATCCAAATATATTGACAAAGCTCGCAGTACATCAAGATCGTGCCAAATCAAGAACACGAGAGAGAGAGAGATCAAACACATAGCTACTGGTACATACCCTTAGCCCCGAGGGTGAACTACTCCCTCCTCATCATGGTGGTTGTCGGGATGATGAAGATGGCCTGTAGTGATGATTTCCCCCTCCGACAGGGTGCCGGAATGGGGTCCTGATTGGTTTTTCGTGGCTACAGAGGCTTGCGGCGGAGGAACTTCTCATCTAGGATTTTCTCGGGGTTTTTGGTATTTATAGGAATTTTTGGCGTCGATCTCACATCAAGGGGGTGCCCGAGGGGCCCACAAGCTCGAGTGACACGCCCTAGGGGGTGGGTGCGCCCCCAGGCTTGTGGCTCCCTCGTCCACTTCCTGGCCCAGCTCCGGTACTTTTGGGATCTCTTTTGGTCCATAAAAATAACCATAAATTTTCAGCCCATTCCGGGAACTTTTATTTCTGCACAAAAAACGACAGCACAGTAGTTCTGCAGAAACAGCGTCAGTCCGGGTTAGTTCTAATCAAATCATACCAAAACCATATAAAATTGTTGTAAACATGGCATGAATACTTCATAAATTATAGATATGTTGGAGACGTATCAAACCCAGACAAGGTGGAGGTCATGATCAAGAAGATCAAATAGT